CAAGCATCAAGATTCACCAATAATAGTCAATAGCCCTCAATAATTATCAATAGTCATCTGTATTCAATCATCACTGATAATCATGCATCAATAGTCATCAGTAACAATAAGTAGTCCTCAAGAATACTCATCAGCAATGATGAATAATCTTCAATCATCATTCATCAACCATAATTATCAAGATAAGAAGTTAAGAATGGTAATATCAACCATATTCATCATTCAGCAACCATAATTGGTTCTTATCATATGTATCTTCAATAATTATCCACGTTAATGATAATTGGTTGAATGGATAATCATCAATCTTCATGATTATCCACAATAATCAATAAGTAATCTATCTTCAATAATCAGCAATTTTATAAACATCATTCATCAACCATTTGTTTATCTATCTTCAATGAGAACCCATTTGTTTGATACGTAAATCACCGGTAAATCATCCACGTCAGGATGCTCTGTGCACAGCCCTGTGGGAGACTGAGGATCTTTGGATTGACCCGGGGAAAACCCATGGGAAAAGCCAGGAACATTGAAAACATATAGGAAAACATATAGGAAAACAAACATGACCAGTGAAACATAGGAAAAACATATGGGAATCTAGTTTGTTTCAAGATGTTTCATGAATATTTGATGGACATCTTGAAACATCTTGCAACGTAATGGAAACCATCTTGATGGGCCTGCAATTCAACAGCTTGGGATCGATGAGTGTTCTAATGTGTTGCAAAGAACTTGGCAACGGGAAAATGGGAGAGCGTTCTAATCTTGATCATCCCAAGTAGAGTTTTTTTGACCAATGTTTTTTTAAACTTCTATTTCTTGGGGGGATGGTGTATGACTACCAGGACTATATTTTGTACTTACTTTGTTAAACATTGGTCTTTGGTCGTTTTGGGTATCTTTGAGATTGGCCATGAAGTCATTTCGGCGATGTTGATTTTCAACTTCCAACTCACTGCTGGTCACCACCTTGGATCGCCTTGAAATGCCTTGAATCTGCGAATGCAACTATGGTACCCTTCGAAATAAACCAGGGATTCATATTGCAGGCTTCAACCCTGAACAGTCCATGCTTCAAATTCGCTGGAGCGGACTGGAGCGGACTCCGACTTAGGCCTGGAATGTGCACAGATCATCGCAGCATTGGGCATTAAGTCCGTGGTGTATTCCGTTGAGGCGCTGGGCCCACCAGTTTAAGGGTCATGCCATCGACCACCAGCTCTGAAAAATAGCCCTAAAACGGCGAATCGGTCCTGTGAACGGACCATGGCCTCTCCAACAGGACACACATGGGTGAATCGACGATTTTTTGTTCAAAACGACCAACAAAAAGGGGGGCACATCTTGTTTTCAGGCAGAACTAAATATAGACATGTTTATGCAAGTTATCCACAAGGCAATTGTGGGAAACGGATTCAGCTGGTGTCACGTCGCCAGGATATGCTGTGCAGCTGTACACCGCTCGAGCTTTTGAACATCTCCTCCCCTTCCTCTGGTGCCGAGAGAACACAGGGGTCCAAAAATTTCTCGGCACACGAGGATAGCCATGGATAGCCTAGTGGCAATGTCAATGAACATTGATCATTACATTGACTTACCATATCTTACCATGAGATTCTGAGTGATGCCCTATTTTTTGAACAAATCCACATCACTTCAACATGGTCTCGTCTTTGGAAACTCCGCCAGTGGAAATCCCTCGTCTTGGACCCTTGGACCTGGAGATGTCTTTATTTTGTCCAGTCAGCTATTCCGCTAAACCATGCTTCAGGCATGATATTCTAATGTTTTTCTATTTGTACCTTGGCCCTAAGTGGACCCATAATGTCGGATGACTGGATTTAGCCATGAGCATATGGCTGACACGCATGGCTGCCATGATCAGGTACAGAGTGGATCATGAGAGAGGAGGCTGCTTCTGAATAGCTTGCGAGTGTGTCACAACACAGCAGAGTTGCTGATTGTCAGATCTTTCGAAAAGGTCGATGTCGATTTCTGGTTTTATGTGGTCGACAAAAAAGTGGGTTCTGAGAGTTTGGGGTGGCCCGTAGTTGTTAATGATACTCGACGAAATCGATGGGGGAGACCTGGGGTGTAAAGACAATGTCGTCAGGGTTTTCTCTTCCGGGAATCCGGTTATTCGGTTGTGCATACGTGTAGACGTTATATGACGTTATATTACACACTATAATACACATTATATTTTTTATAGCGTGTATTTATAAGCACACACACATAATATATATAATTATATATATATATATACACAGATTGCTTCAAAACATGGTTCGAAGACGCCCTGTTTCACCAGGTCAGCGTTTAAACGTTCAAACGGGCATGGAGGATTTCCTCAGTCCTGGTGGTACCTCCTTGCATCATCCAGCCTTGGATTATCATTTTAGTTAGCATTGTTTCACAACCTATGGCATACCTATGGTGACGACTGGGGATCCCTCATGACTTTAGGATACTTTAGGAAGCCTCACTTAGAATATGATGGTCTTCACAAATCAACGAAGGCTTCTTCAAGGGGAAGGCCTTTGATGCGAGTTCGCAACGGAAGTCCAACAGTCAGAGCTCTTCCTGCACTGCGCAGTCCACGTCTCGACTTCACAGCACGACATGTGAGCCATCCATGGCAGCATGGCCGCGGCCGGGGGAAAGCAGCAACGGTTCAGCTGAAGCCGGGGGAATCACAAGTATTCAAAACCATTTCAAAACCCAAAGATGAAATATGATGAAATATGATGAAGCTTTCTTCTTTAAAAAAAAATATGATGGTTTGTCCCAGATAAACAGCTACAGGCTGAAAAACCATGACGATAAACATATATTTGGCGGCCATCATTTTGCTTTTCAGCCACGGGGTGATGATCCCCAGAACCACCTTCTGGCCATCATGGCGGTTGTGTGTTTTTTTTTAGTGGTAATAATCTACTGGTTTTTGATGGTGAAAAAAGCCACCCATTTAATCCCATTTATATAACTCGTCATTGGGGATGGTTTTAGTGGCGGTTTTTCAACTTGGGAAGCATATGCCATTTTGGCATCCAAATGCAACATCGTACAACTGACAACGTTACCCCGCAGGAAGACCACTGCAATTCCCTTCGGCGACTTGTACAGATTGGTGGCAGTCCAAAGGAATGTGCATCATCACAATTTTGAGCCTCCAAGGATGTGTCAAACCAAATTTTAGCTAAGTCCAAGAATGAGTTGAATAGCACATGCATGACTGGCTTGTGGTTTCAAACATGATTTATTATTTATCAAATTTAAGATGATAACCATTGATAATCCCAACTTGTTCATCCAATCATTGCATACTCGTAATAAATTGGGAAGCACCAAAAGACTTAGATACACCATGATTTTTGGCCAATGTATATGAACAACACGGGCTGGTAAAACAATGGTTCTTTGAGCTATTAAAACATGATGATGGTGGATGGTGGTGGTAAAAAAATGCTCTTTCTTGCTATGTTCCATGGTAAACCGCGGCTTCAAGGTTCAGATCTTTTTCGTTGCGTCGCCTTAAGGTCCATGGCTTCACCTTGGTCCATGATCCAAGCGCGATGGTCCATGATAGCCACGACTAGGGGCGATGGTACATGAGTCACTGTTTGGAGCCCTGATAAATCGGATAAATGATGCCATGCCGTGCTAGGACCTTGATTTGCTGATGGTTTGGCAGCAGATCTTGGAAGAAAGGCCATGAAAACGACGTTGCTCAAAGCGATCTCTCGTACCAAGATGATCCAAGATGCACCATGATTTACTGAGATTAAAATGATAACTGAGCTGCCGTAGATATTGTTGTGATCCCAGCAATTTACATCAAACATTCCTGGACTGCCACGTACGGTAGCCCCGACGAGATGTGTGGGGCTGCTGGAACCAACGCGCTACACGAAAAACGAGTGCCTGATTCATTGTGTTTTCAAGCAGGGAGTTATGAACTTGCGTGAGCCTGGGAAAATCAGTGAAATATGGCGAAATTGCCTCGTCAGGGATTCTGGATCTTGGATTTTGACTTCTGTTCTATAGTTAACTATAGTGGAGTCATATCTTCATGGAATTGTTCTTCTTGCATTTCATGTGTTGAATTCGGCCCTGTGTTTCTTCTGCACCCATTGCACTTTTTCGGAACCTACAGGCGACTGGCTCAGGAGATGGATAGCCAAGATAATTGGCGGGAAATGATGCAAAATCATAGGGATTTAACCAATCCCCTCAATGGTGACTTCTTGAGATTTAATGGGATATATGGTATTTTAATGGGATTTATTTAATGGGATCAATGATTTAATAGGATTTTATGGTATTTTAATAGGATTTAATGGGATATATGATGGTTAAACCTCCTATCAATGGGAGATCTTCAGGATCCAACAGATGGAGGTACGTTAGTTGTACCATATTTCTGGCCATATGAATTCTGGGGAGATTCCCTGAAATTGAGGCCTGAAAAATAGGCCAAAAATATATGGTAGGTACCTCCAATCAATCGGTTCCTGTTGCATGGCCACTGAATAGATGGTTTATGTCAAGATTCGCCCAAAAATTGTGAAGCGTTTCTTGGTGTTTTCATGGATCCGAAGATGATAAGCCCTTAATGTTTTGAAGCTGGGTGCTCTAAAGACTCTGGATGAAATTTACCGCGGTCTTGTTCTCCCAGGAACTCAATTTTGCTGGCGTTTTTTTGGGTTGAACAGTTCAAGAAGCCCAACCTGGACGTCATATAGATTTGGCAGACTCCTGTGGCGAGCAATGTTTTTTAAACTATATATTCTTCGTGTTTTGCTGCTCCCAGAGCTGACTTCGTCATATGTTTTGAATTATTTTTTAGTTGGGATTTGAACTCTTGAAATTTGTTGCCGCATCGATGCTCTTGTTTGTATTGAGTGTATTGTTGGTGCGTTAATTCCCCACTTTTTTAGCTCAATGATGCTTCCTTGCGGAAATTAAACCCTTAAAGGATCAACGCCTGCACAGCACCCCACGTGGTGACCGGCCATGCATGGACGAGACAGAAGAAGTCGCGCCATGTGATGCGCTTTGGGTTCAGTACGAACTGTTGCTGAAACCTGCACCTTGGTGGAAAATGGTGGACAATCCACGTGACATGTGCTGGGAATCGCATGGAATAATATGGAATATCACATAATATTCATTAATATTCACAGGGATTGATTGATTGATTCCCATTTGCAATAGTAATATTACATCTGATCCTTGGTTTTCACAGTTGTTTTTTTTTGCCGCTCAACGTTTCACGGGAACAGGTTCTTCATCGACGGCACAGGATGTTTGGATACGCCTTGGTGAAGATGTTTTCAAAACGGCTTTCAAAATGCCCCAGAAACCAAGTAAAACATCCAAATGCTGATCCTTTTTCCATCTTTTTCCACCAAAAATGATCATTTCGGTGGTTTTAAACCCATTAAAACCATAATTGTTTGAATTTGTTTGACTTATGATGGAACATGTTGAACTCATGTTTTTTATCCAGAAACGCGCCAGGTACCCACGGCTGGATGCGTGGACCTTGGCAGGTGGCGCAAGGTGCCGATCGGGGTGCCGATCGGGGCAGGTGGAAGATCTCAGGGCTGGAATTGACTGGAATTCTCAAGGAATATGAGTATGGACTAATTAACAATGGGATATTGAAACTAAGAGTACAGGAATAGTTAATTAATTAATGGAATACCCCCTGGTAAATAAACATAGACCCTGAAAATAACCAATTTTTAATGGAAACTAATCTTCCAACCCCGATGACTGCCAGGGTCTATGTTAATTTACCAGAGGGTAGTATGGACTAATCATGAATATTCATGATAAAAAAGTATTATTGATAATCATCACCATTAGTAACCATTAATAATTAATAATCATCAATTGGTAAGAACCACTAGTAACCGTTGATAACCATCAATCATTACTGGTTGGTGGTTTCAAACATGACTTTTATTTTCTATAATAAATTATATGGGGTAACCCTTCCCATTGTCTAGTATTTTTCAGGATGGTTAAAACCACTAACCAGCATGATAATAATAAGTATTACAAAAATATCCATGGACCAATAAGATATTCTCAATATAATGAATTTTCATTGGATATATATATATCTCTCTCTCCATTTGATAACATTATATCATATATCCATTAGTCCATGATTATGATAATCATTCCATGGTTATTATAATTAGTACATAATTCCATGGACTAATTGTGATTACACATCATGGAATTCATTATCATTAGTCCATGAATATACCGTATGTTAGTTTACCCTAGGGTAACCATGAAATAATTGGATAGTTTCATGGAGATCATGAGAGGTATATTTTCATGGAATGATTTGGAAATAATTGGGACTGATATTTTTTGGGATGTTGGATGATGTAACCATGATGTTTCATCTGGATGAATCACGGAATGATGGGTTTTTTTTTAAAGGTTTTTATCATCCCCCATCGCTGGCCGAATCTTTCAGAATCTTTCAGATATCTTCAGCGTCAGAATCCTGGGATCTTTTCATGATTACAGACTCTGACAGAATCGTTGGGAAGAAATGACTTGGGATAATCATATTGGGATGTTGGATGATTTAACCATCGTGGGATAACTCGATATGTTTATTGGCAGAACCAACTACCCTCTGGTAATTTAACAGTTTGCTATTGAAAATGACCATTTATAGTTGATTTTCCCATTGAAAATGGTGATTTTCCATAGTTATGTTAAATTACCAGAGGGTAACCATCGTGGGAGTTCATTGGATGTTTATTGGCAGAATCAACTACTTGTACAATCAAAAGTTGGATTGCATTTACGCATGAGTTGGGGGATGGGTCAAGTTACGTGGTTGATTCTCCCATAAAAGAGGTGCTTATTCCCTCGTTCATACTGTCACAGAGGTTGGTATATGTACCCATGGGAAGAAATTCGGAATGATGGTGAGATGACCATACCTAACATGTTTTGATCATGGCACATGTCATGTCATATCCAGAGTGTTGGTACCCCATGAGTTATGTGTTTTCGGTGAGTCATTTATATTGTTCTACTCTTACCTTTCCATTTACTTGGGTGCATCCCAAGTAGGAAGTTGGTAATACCTTATGACATAGCCCAGCCACTGTATGTAATGTTGTATACATACACACACATATTATATATTATATATACACAATCATATATATATATATGCATATGTGGAATATCCCTAGGAGTTTCTGGTTTACATATGGGCTACAGCTATTGACATAGCAGAGGTGGGAATATAATGGAGCTAGAATGGTAATCAATCGAATATACAACGTTTTTTTTAAATAATGGGTTGTAGCCCACTTGCAAAGTGAATTTATTGGGGCATCTCCATGTGTTCTGTTTTTCCAGAACATTTCCTGTACTTTCCCAGACATTTTATTTCTTAAGAGTTATAACCACATAGAATTCTTGTGAGCGTGATGAAATCCCTAAAAAAATGAATTTCAAATTTCAGATTTCCATATGGGTATGGATCAATACCTATGAAAATACCATTTTTAGTGGGTTATTCACATCCATAAATCCCAGCTATGACTTGGGCTTCACCAGGGGTACCAGGGTTTTGACCCATCCCCATATGCTATACCATGAACCATGACTGGGGCCCCTGGGGCTCATGAATCATCCCAGTCCTATGAGGATGGCGACTATGAAATTACTAGCATAGCTATGGGATTAACAATGTAATTAATAATGATATCCTCTGGTGATGATGGAATTCTAGGATATATATATATATATACACCCGGCCTGGTAGTTTAACAGTTTGCGAACTGGACAGATCCACCATTTTCTAGCTGGGTAAATCCACTATGTCGACTGGGCCATTTTCAATATCTATTTAACAAATTACCAGAGGGCATGCCATAATTTGTTATTTCAGTGCTGGTGATGTCCCGGTAAAATCCATTAATGATGCCCTTTGGGTTTACCTCATCAGTGGGAATTTTCGTGGCCTAAAATGAACTGAACTATGGCCATCTACTTGGGAGATTCCCTTAGCCTTGACATAGGCCCTATGGATCCCTATGGATCCCTAGGACGCTTTTATCCCACTTAGTTTTTGTGGTTGATCATCTGTAAGCCATATTTCATCATATTTCATCCCTTTTTTGATAGGGGATATTTACTTGGATCCATATCTAACTGGATTTTTATGACCCACTGGGCCGTAGGAGAATCACTCCCTCCCAGCTTCACCATCTGGGCCGTCCGCCGCCTGGCAGGTTCTCAAGGAGGCCTTCTCCATCGAAGCTGCCATTGGCAAGGCAAGTGCCAAGCACTTGGAGCTGTCGCTACCGAACGGTGCCCGGGCCCGGCATGGCAATGGAACATACCCGGCCTGGTCATGGGATTAACCATGTACCCTCTGGTTATGACTAACATAGCCATGGTATAGATGGCCCATAGAAATAGATGGTTTACCTATTATAAATGGTGATTTTCCATGGCTATGTTAAATTACCAGAGGGTAATTAATAATGATATCCTCTGATGATGGTGGAATTCTAGGATGTATATATATATATATATACACCCGGCCTGGTAATTTAACAGTTTGCGAACGGGAAAGAACCACCATGCTATGGGTAAATCATGGTAAATCCACTATTTCGACTGGGCCGTTTTCAATAGCTATGTAACAAATTACCAGAGGGTACCAATGAAAACTACGTAGCCCAAAAAATCATGACGATGTCGCTCCTGGAAAAAAACGCGGTAGCCAGTTAAAAAAATTGCCTTCTGGCATTTACAGTAATTGTGCCGTAATTGCATTTCTAGGTTTTCCCATTAAAGCATCCATTTATAGGGGATTTCATGGGATTTCCCATTGCCACGTTTGATTACCGGATAGTATTTAAACTATCATAAGATCGGCCATAAATATGGCATTGTCCACTGCTATGTCAGCGTTAGATTGCCAGAGTTGAGGCAAAATGTACAGCAGACTGAAACGGATCTAAAAAGTTCGTGAAGTGGGAACGTTCCACCGGCCATGTAGAAACTCTGATGTGTCATGCACCGGCCGTGCAATGCCTTGCCCAATTCGATGTGAGGTGACAAGGTGACGTGTGGCCACAAGCTTTCGAAGCTAAGCCGACAAGGCTAAGCTGACGAGCGCCGGGCTGATGACGCTGATGATGATCATGAATTCTTATTGAATCTAGTATGATGAATAGGTTGTTCTGTTTTTTTTAAATACCGATCTATGATATATGGTACATACGTGTGTACATATATCTATACTATAGAGAGAGCGTTCTGACATGATGGTCATGACCATCACCCACCCACCACCAGCAGCATCATCATCACCAAAGATCATATTGAGAACAATCATCATGGAAATCATCCAGATTTTATGGAATTTCTGGGACTTTTCTGGGACATTTCATCACTGAGCCCAGCACTTTAGGCCACGGCTCGCAGCGCAGCGCCCTGCGCCTCTCCGTGGCGCCGTCGGTGACGGCGCCCGTGCAACCGGTGCCGTCACCGGTGACAACGGAGGCGCGGGCGGCGCAGGAGGCGGCGGAGAAGATGGTGGCGGAGGGCGTGCTGTGCAGCACAGGCGGGACCGACCGGGGGAATCGATGAAGGCCAAGGCCAAGTCTAACTACCCTCTGGTTATGTCAAAATAGCTATTGAAAATGGCCATTAATAGTGGATTTTCCCATTAATAGCATGGTGGATCTTTCCATAGCTATGTTAAATTACCAGAGGGTAATCCCATGACCCTTTTCTGTTTTTCACATCCCATAAATGTTCCCAATTATGTGGAATTTCCTTACTAAACCATGGATCCATGGTTTCTAAGGGGGTGTTTAATATTAGGGTGAAGGGGTGGTACATGATATTGATCTATCTTTTTTTGGGGTTGGGATTATTTTTTACTATATCTGATCAGTTCTTGGAGGATGCGCATCGATTAAGGATTTTTACATCTATGGATGGTCATGAGTCATGAACCTAATATTATGAAATGTATATATGGACAATGTTTTTACCCTGGTACCATATGAGGTACGCACACAAAATCTATTTGAATATTGAGATGTTCATGATGACTGTATGTTTAATCTGCGCAGTTATTAGTGTGATAGGGGGGTGTAAACAAGATTGCCCAACTTTAAATACCATAATGATTGGTTTTATTGTGATACCGCAGCCAGTTGCAATATCACAGAAGTACCTTTTCTCGGAGGTGTTTTGGGTTCGTTGGTTGCTTAAACATCTTCGTTTTCGTTCCACAACTCTGGGCTTCACGACGAACATACGGCGTTTTCCTCTGGGCTTCACGAGGAATATATATATATATAATTAGATTAGATTATATATAGGACTGCGATTTCAAGAAATAAGATCAAATAACCAACATTGAATTACACAATCTAACCAACATTGAATTTGGCAGCCATTTAGCACTAGTAAGCATCTTGTGCTCAGCTTCCCTTTTTGCTCAGCCGGGTGGATCATCCCATGGGCCCCATCAGTTGATCGGTTGGTAAATGGATAGTAACCATCAATGGTTAATGATGGTGGTTAATGGTTAATAGTGGCTTAATAATGGCTTAATGATGATTAATGGTTAGTAATGGTGATTAATGGTGATTACTGTAATGATAATGTGGTTAAAACAATGCCATAAACCATCCCATTTTTGATGGTTTATACCACCCATAAACATGGTGAATTTGGGAATGGTTTGACCACATTACTAATACTTATGTGGGGTGATCCTCTACACAAGATAATCGCGTAACTTGTGAAAGCTATCCATCAACAAAAACTACATGATTTATAATTGGTTTATCCTCTTCTTTTATCAAGGATGGCAATGAAAAATCGTTCATTTGTCAATGATGAAATCCCAGCTGGAAACCTCCATTTATACCAGAGGGTATCCCATCCCTTTGTTGGTTAGATTGTGTAATATACATACATATATATATATATATAACCACGAATAATCACACATAACCACGAAGAATCCAGTGGTTTCAACGTGATATTCTCTATGAATATCCCACGTTAACTAACTATATTAAGGATACCATACATCAATAGATCTGATTGGTGGTTTGGAACATGAATGTTGTTTTTCCATATATTGGGAATGTCATCATCCCAACTGACGAACTCAGTCCATCATTTTTCGGGCTAGGTCAACTACCATACATCAATAGATGCTAATTATATACCATGTCAATTTTACCAATGAGACCGGGAAGTTGGTGCTAGATGGTGCCAGGCTATGCGGGATACTGGTGCCACTGCTGTTCCGTCCACTGCTCCTCTTCGCGCGCCTGGAAGCAGCACGCCGCCAGCGCCGCGCACGGCAAGGCGGGCCAGGCCGTTGTGGGCGACGGCGACGGCACGGCGAATCCTTGGGGACACGGCACGGCGCGGTGGCTGAAACCTGGAGGAATGGTCTAAAGTGATGTCAGTAACGTTGAACCAGAAAAAAAAGGTGATTTCATGGGATTTCACCAAGAAAAAATATGGTGATTTAACTATATTTAACTATATTTCACCCGCAAAAACATGGTGTTTTAGCCAACAAAAATAGTGGTATAGTGGAGATGTAATGGGATACATGTTTGGATAACTGTTACAACCTCATGACGACATCGCTGGAACGATGGGAATTGGATTAGCGAAGAAAATTGTGGCCGTACTATTCAGGATTGATTCAAATATTAAAATTCCCCAAAAGACTTGGTGGGTAAGCTATATTTTCATATATAGTAAACAATATTTTCATGTAGTTTCTGGTTGGTGCTTTCAATCTTTTGTTAAATGAATGCTGCTCTTCAGCTTGCTGGTGCTCAAGGCTACCAAAATCCGATTGCGAGCTATCGGGTCAGCTAAGCAACCAGGGTTTAAGCCGCAGAAAACATGTTTTCACGCGCAAGATATCATATTTAAGCCTTCAACCTGACGATCTGATCGAAAAAACTTTGTTCCTTTGATTGCCAGTACATGAGGAATCGCTGTTTTTTTCTACCCCCCCTCTCCAAGGAAACAGTTTCCGCGTCGACAAGGTGGAACTTTGGAGGTTTCCTCGAAATATTTTGATTTGGACGATCGACAACAAGTCCTGTTGCTCGCCGGGAAGTCACCGGATGGACAATTCGGATCAAGAAATTCCATAAGATTCGCTGTGATGTCAGACAATTGCACCAAGGGGACACCTTTGGGGACTGTATACCTAATCTCATAGTTAAAATGCATGCCGGCAGCGTTCTGTTTAAGCCTCCTCCCGTACAAGTTGCATATTTTTTGTTTATGAGTTACGGTCAAAATGTTTGAGGACCACTGTATCAGAGATGTGCACGAAACACTGCAAAGCGATAGGGCCCCCTCCAAAAGCGATAATTGGAAAAAAAGACTGGAAAGCAACATGTCCCCCCCAAAAAGCGATAACTAAGTACTGAGATGTAAAGAATTTTGACAGGAGGTCCAATGTATGGATCTGTAACTGTCTGTAATGTAGTGTAATGTAGTGTAGTGCAATGCAGTGCAATGTAATATGATGTAGTGTAATGCAACGCAATGTAATATGGTGTAGTGTAATGCAATGCAATGTAATATGATGTAACGTAATGTAATGTAACGTAATGTAATCCAATGCAATGCAATGCAAGGTATGTAATGTAACGTAACGTAATGTGATGTAATGGTATACCATGTAATGTAACGTAACGTAATGTAATTTAGATATGTAGTGTAGAAAATGTAATATAATATAATGTCGTGATTTAATATAATGGTATGCAATGCAATGCAATGTAATCAACAGCATCAACAGCATCAACATCAACAACAACAACAACGACAACAACGACAACAACATCATCAACAACAACGACAACCACAACCACAACCACAACCCAACCACAACCACAACCGCAACCACAACCACAACCACAACAACGACGCCAACAACGCCAACAACACCACCACCACCACCAACAACAACAACAGCAGCGGCAACAACAACAACAACAGCAACACCAACAACAACAACAACAACAAAACAGTTATTTTCACCTCAGGTTGCGCCAATACTTGGCGCACGCCTTCCACGACGACCCGGACCTGCTAAAGGCTTTCGATGTGCTGCTGCAGCGCGCGGCGAAACACCTGCGGGTCAAGGAGCTCTTCGAAACCATCGAGGTCTGGAAGAAGGCGCTTCGGTGGGTAGTGGCTCTTAAGTTGCAAACATAGTTCTTTTTAGTAGCTCAGCTTTAGTAAATCAGCTTCATTAAGCCAAGAAAGTATGGTGAAATTAGCTCTAGACTCTAGACCAACAAAACATCATCGCAGCTTCCATCCCAGCAATCAATCGGCTCAACAAGCGCTGCCTTGAGAACCGCACCCAGGGAAGACAAACCGCTTGAGCATCTTCAGAGATCTCCTGGCCTCGTAACATTGTTGGCGTCTCAAGTCTTTGCTGGTTTCTATCCCAATGTGGATGTGGGTCAGAATGGAAGACCTAGGGCTTAGGGAACCACAGATGTGAATGTCTAGTTTAGTATTAACCATCCATAATTTTGGGGTACCTAATTTTGACCCATACCCAATGTTACCCCCATGATCATGTGCTTATACTGGCATTGTCTGAAAATACTGTCGCTCAAATCGAATAGTTGATCATAGTTTTCCCGGTTGTCCAATCAAAATTGCCATTGGGGTGTCCCTCACTATTGGTCAAAAGCATACACACTGTTGGTCATATCAAATAATCCCATTATTATTTTGATAAACCTTCCGATTCTTGCCGGTTAAATCCCACTTGTTCCCACCATATCCCAAATGTTCATGTTCTTTTACCTCAGCTTTTCATAATATGGCCTTTTTATCCCATTGATATCCATGAATGCCCATGAAATCCTCATATATATACTATCACCCATAGGATCCATGTATGCTATATATGGTAACATTTACCATTAATATACCCCAAATGTTAGCATATATATATACCATACATGGATCCTATGGGTCATGGAATCCCATGATTATCCGAACTAGACGACGGATGGCCCGAGAGCGTAGAGGAGCAGAGTCTTCTGTTGTTAGTATGGAGACACTATATTCCAAGACAATATATTAAAGATGTATTATAGGCAGACGAGAAGAGTAGTATCAAGACAATATATTACAAGTACAAGACAATAGTTTGCATCGTATCTTTCGTAAGGTTTTTCACACACAGAACTTTTTACAGACAGGCGCTTTTGCACACAGAGACTTTTACACAGAGGCTTTTACACACAGAGGCTTTTACACACAGAGGCTTTTACACACAGAGGCTTTTACACACAGAGGCTTTTACACACAGAGGCTTTTACACACAGACGCTTTTACACACAGAGGCTTTTACACACACACACACGCTTTTACACACAGAGGCTTTTACACACAGACGCTTTTACACACAGAGGCTTTTACACACAAACACTTTTACACACAAACACTTTTACACACAGAGACTTTTACACACAGACGCTTTTACACACAGAAGCTTTTACACACAGACGCTTTTACACACAGACGCTTTTACACACAGAAGCTTTTACACACAGAAGCTTTTACACACAGAAGCTTTTACACACAGACACTTTTACACACAGAACTTTTTACAGACAGACGCTTTTGCACACAGAGACTTTTACACAGAGGCTTTTACACACAGAGGCTTTTACACACAGACGCTTTTACACACAGACGCTTTTACACACAGAAGCTTTTACACATAGACCCTTTGACACACAGACGCCTTTACACACAGACGCTTTTACACACAGAAGCTTTTACACACAGAGGCTTTTACACACAGAGGCTTTTACACACAAACACTTTTACACACAAACACTTTTACACACAGAGACTTTTACACACAGACCCTTTTACACACAGGAGTTTTTACACACAAAAGCGTTTACACGCAGACGCTTTTACACAAAAGCTTTTACACACACAGAAGCTTTTACACATTGACATAGACGCTTTTACACACAGACGCTTTTACACACAGACGCTTTTACACACAAAAGCTTTTACACACAGAGGCTTTTACACACAGACGCTTTTACACAAAGAAGCTTTTACACACAGAAGCTTTTACACACTTCACCGGACAACTTGGAAATCGCAATTTTACCTCAGTTTTTGGCGATCAAACCTCATTTCGTGCGAAAGCGTTGCGATTGGACAAGAGGAATCACAATTTTACCTCAGTTTTAGATATCAGGATGTGGTGATGAGAAGATGTGAAGATGTGTGAGGATGTGAAGATGTGAAGATGAGAAGATGTGAAGATGAGAAGGTGTCAAGATGTGAGGATGTGATGATGAGAAGATGTGAAGATGTGTGAGGATTTGAAGATGAGAAGATGTGAGGATGTGAGGAGAAGAAGATGTGAAGATGAAAAGATGTGAAGATGTGAGGATGTGATGATGAGAAGATGCGAAGATATGTGAAGATGAGAAGATGCGAATATGAGAAGATGTGAAGATGAGAAGATGTTTCACAGACCCCCACTATTAGAAGAACCCTGCGCTCAGACGCTCCCGGGAAAAAAAACCAGTCGCTATAAGTATAGTCAAGTCCAACCTGAACCTCGGCCCTTTCCAACTGTGAAAAACCGATGACAACTGAACCTAGGAATCATGAGGACTTCTACGAAATTCCTATGTTGATACAATGTGTTTAAAAAATATTGAGGGGATTTTAATTAAGTATACCCATCCTAATATAAGCTTAATGTTTTCATTTAAACTTATATAGATATAGACATTCAAATAAATATGAACCTAAGTATTTGTCAACACACTGATTAATATCCATTGATTTCAATGAGATTTGGCAAAAAATATCTGTTTCCATGCTTGATTTAACAGCTGCAGGACCACATCTTCCCGACCTCAGGTGGTGTCTCACCTTTTGAAAAGCAACGAACTTCGCAAGTCCAGCGACCTGCCTTTGGTCTCCAGGATGCGTGGGCTGCAACGTAAGCCGTTCGCCGGTTTGGGGCCGTGGGGAATGGGATGGGATTTCAACCAACCGGGGATTAAATCCATCAATAAATGGTTTATGTATCAACCGTCAGTGAACGGTGAACGTCGTGAACGTCGAACGTGGTCATTTTGGCAATTTTGAAGGGAACATGTGTGTAGATTTTTCATAGGTACCCTCTGCTTATTTAACATAGCCATGGAAAATGGCCCATTTATAGATGATTTTCCCATTAAAACCTCCATTTATAAGGGATTTTCCATGGCTATGTTAAATAACCAGACGGTATGTGTATTACTCTGCTGGATAGTAGTTTGCGAGGGTATCCAGATTATCCAGTCCAAGGTTTTGCCACATCAAGATGGGTTTCTCTCGTAAAGAATTACCCTCTGGTTATTTAACGTAGCCATGGTATAGATGGCCCATAGAAATAGATGGTTAACCGTTCTTAAAAATGGTGGATCTTTCCATGGCGAACTGTTAGTCATAACCAGAGGGTATTTTGTTCATTACAATTTTCTGGGTTTCTTTCAAGTGGACTGGGAACATCCCAGTCATTTTCAGATGGAAGGGTTACTACCATGTTCCCAGTCTTATAAATCATAGATGGGGGTTACTATCATGATAGGAAATTATGTTCAGATGACTCTTATAGTCATTTCACGTCATTGCATTTCCTACTAGATCTATTAGGGTAAGCAGCCGTAGGATGTTCTTTCCAACAGCTAGTTGGGAGCAGCGCAAGGCGAGAACATGAGTACTGTCCAGTACACTTAAAATGCTGGAACCTTCAACTTAAAAGTACGTAGGTCTATAACCTCACAACCATATAGTGTAGCATCCCATTAATCATGTTTAGGGAACCATTACTGGAGGCATTGTTCCTTCAAGAAAGAATTTCGGCAATATTTAACCATGCGCTTCCGTGCACAAATTGAACGAATTGAAGCAACAGGACACAGAATTACATATAATTATAACAGTTGGACCTTGCTACCGATAGCACGACTCCCTCATGGTCTTCAGTTTGGGGCCATTTTTTTACATTCCCCAACACATTCTGTTAGTGCTTTCAAGTGCCGATTTTTTTCGAGCCACGAGCCATGGCAGCCATACCATCCCCATCCCCTATAGCAAACCCATCCCATAGCCAGCCAGCCGTAGCAGTGCCGCAGCCGCCCCACAGGATCTATGACATCGCCAGCGGCCACGGGCTCTTAGCAGTGCTTCTGGCCTATCGCTTTCCGACCATGAAAGTTCTGGCGCTGGATCGAGAGAAACGCGATGGCTTTGCACACTACGTGTCGCGGTCGATATCCAGGGTGTGGTTGGTTGTTATAACAATGGACTTCGATGATTATTGATCATCATCCACCTATAAATTTGGTGGAATAATACAGTAGTTAATAGTTAATAATGATCAATAACCACCTAATATCTGAGAATTCGGTGATCGTTCATTATCAATTGACTTGTTTCGCGTACAGGCGAACCATGGAACGTGTTCTTAATCAGAATCCCATTGTGGACTGACTCGATGACATACACAACAAGAAAAGATCACTGGACCATGTGCAAAGACCCACTCATTCTACACACAAGAACAAGATTCTAAGATGGGCTATACCGATATCCCAAGTCGAGACTTGGCTGTCTCATGTTTGACATTCAGGACCTGGGGACGCCCCAATCCATGTGGCTTTGTCCAAAAATGGTGGATACCCCAACATGGATGTCTTAGTTGGTAAATTATGATAAACCATGTTGGTTGATAACCCCAACATGGATGTCTTAGTTGGATGTCTTAGTTGGTACATTTAACTGCTTTAAACCATCAAATGGATTGGTATGTCCGAGACTATGGAACTACTATCCCGGTAAACGTCGGACAAAACATGGCCATTCGAGTCGGACACATGTGAAAAAAAGCCGATGTTCTCAACCATCCCGTGTTGGATTTCTGCGAAGAATTTTCGGCTTAGGGCCATGGTGAGCAAATATAATTCCAATGATCTGCCGATGTCCGGCGCACAACATGGCTATGAGGATCCATCATCTGACAAAGATGCAGATGAAACTGATGAGGTTGATCTTCAGGTGCTGTGCTTGACTGGAGAAGGAGTGACATTGAGCGTCAGTCGCTCCATGATTGGATATGACCTGCGCAGATTGGTGGCGAAGAAGCTTCCATGCAAGCCAGGTGCAAAGCTCGCTGTGCATCATGTTAATCGAAAACTGACGCTTGATGAAACCTTGCGAGAGCAAGCGATTGTTGGAAAATCAGCAATGCTGTCCTGCACTTACATACCAACGAATCTTTGCACTGCATGGAATTGTGTCTGTGGGCTCCCAGCTAGTGAGAGAGAGTTTGCGATGGAAGGTGTTACGCAACTTGATGGAGCAACGAGTGGAGAGTATCTACGTCATTTGCCCCGCAGCCTTGCAAGATTGACTTTTGACAATGATTTCAACCAAAGCCTGGAGGGGGTGACCTTGCCATTGAGTCTCCAAAGCTTGAGTTTTGGTAGAGCTGGAGCTTTCAACCAAAGCCTGGAGCGAGTGACCTTGCCATCCAGCCTTCAAAGCTTGAGTTTTGGCTGTAATTTCAACCAAAGCCTCGAGGGGGTGACCTTGCCATTGAGTCTTCAAAGCTTGAGTTTTGGCTATATGTTCAACCAAAGCCTGGAGCGGGTGACCTTGCCATCGAGTCTTCAAAGCTTGAGTTTCGGTAATAATTTCAACCAAAGCCTGGAGCGGGTGACCTTGCCATTCAGTCTTCAAAGCTTGAGTTTTGGCTGTGATTTCAACCAAAGCCTCGAGGGGGTGACCTTGCCATCGAGTCTTCAAAGCTTGAGGTTCGGCCGGGAGTTCAACCAAAGCCTGGAGCGGGTGACGTTGCCATCGAGTCTTCAAAGCTTGAGTTTTGACGATGTCATTGGCGATGGGTTCAAACAAAGCCTGGAGCGGGTGACCTTGCCATCGAGTCTTCAAAGCTTGAGTTTCGGTAATAATTTCAACCAAAGCCTGGAGCGGGTGACCTTGCCATCGAGTCTTCAAAGCTTGAGTTTCGGTAATAATTTCAACCAAAGCCTGGAGCGGGTGACCTTGCCATCGAGTCTTCAAAGCTTGAGTTCTGGCTATATGTTTAACCAAAGCCTGGAGCGGGTGACCTTGCCAACGAGTCTTCAAAGCTTGAGTTCTGGCTATATGTTTAACCAAAGCCTGGAGCGGGTGACCTTGCCATCGAGTCTTCAAAGCTTGAGTTTCGGTAATAATTTCAACCAAAGCCTGGAGCGGGTGACCTTGCCAACGAGTCTTAAAAGCTTGAGTTCTGGCTATATGTTCAACCAAAGCCTGGAGCGGGTGACCTTGCCATCGAGTCTTCAAAGCTTGAGTTTCGGTAATAGTTTCAACCAAAGCCTGGAGCGGGTGACCTTGCCATCGAGTCTTCAAAGCTTGAGTTTTGGCTGGAATTTCAACCAAAGCCTCGAGGGGGTGACCTTGCCATTGAGTCTCCAAAAATTGAGTTTTGGCTATATGTTCAACCAAAGCCTGGAGCGGGTGACCTTGCCATCGAGTCTTCAAAGCTTGAGTTTTGGCTATATGTTCAACCAAAGCCTGGAGCGGGTGACCTTGCCATCGAGCCTTCAAAGCTTGAGTTTTGGTGAGAATTTCTACCGAAGCCTGGAGCGGGTGACCTTGCCATCGAGCCTTCAAAGCTTGAGTTTCGATAATAATTTCAACCAAAGCCTGGAGCGGGTGACCTTGCCATCGAGCCTTCAAAGCTTCAGGGCTTGCCATTCATCACGCAGGGTGTTTGTCCGTTCGGGAGGCTGTGCCTAATTAGTTTGTTTGGAAAACATAGATTTCTATCACGAAAGAGGCTTGCGCTTTCAGGGATACTTGAGGCGAGTACTCTGGCGTGCTAGTTATTGGTGATATGAAGTTGCAAAACAAGGTGTTGTGAAGGAGAAAGGCGATGGAAAAAGCAATGAGCTTGAGGGGAAGTGTAGGTAGCAACCAAGTTGGGTACCCGCTAGTATTCAAACATGGTTTGCTGGAAAAGAAAACATCTAATCCGATGACTTTTCCACCTATAGCTGCCCATGTTTGATGGAGATTAGCCAGCTAGCCATGTTTGAAGAGACTGGAGGGTAATCTTTGGCGATTTTTGTGTTCATGACCGTTGTCATGCCTTCCTGCTCATCGTATTGGGTCCAACATAGTCACCAGGTAGGGATGTGACGTATGCCTCAAAATTTTGCAGGAAGCACCAAGATGGGCTATGTTTAGTAGATTTTAGTAGTATAGTAATCCAGAAAAATATGATTTTTCAAAGAAACACTCCAGTAGGACTTGATTTGAGATTCCAAATTTGGGTCTTACTTTTCTAGACTAAGTCAAGTAAGCAATCCTGGTGGCAACCTGGTGGCAACTCCTCAGATGGTTAAAATGCTTAGCAATCCTGAGAATCTCATGGATGTGCCACCAGGATGTGAATGTTCGGTATGATATTTTGGAAAACACGGCTTTCTAAAACCAGTAGATTTCCAATGATTTCCACTAACAGGTTCATTAGAAGCATTTCGAGGATATTTCCAGGCTTGCGTCATATGCTAAACCAGTCCGGTTTTGCCGTTGAATGGCCGGTTTTTGCCAGCCCGAAAATAAAAAGCGCCAAAATGATGCAGGTTGAAGCGGTAAATGACTTTGGCAAAGCTCTGCCAGGACTGTTTGCGGGGGGTTCATGAAGGATTTATAGGGAGAAAAATATGGGACACAGCACAGTAGCTATAGCTGTAAAGCCAACCTATAGGTTTACTGTTTTCAAGAAACATGGGGGAGTTAAACACCGATCAATGTTTACTCAATATTGCCATATTGCCTTAGTCTGATTCATGTGTCTTCATCTTCCATCTCTAAAAATAAAGGATGAGAATCAAGCAAGATGGGGATGCTGATCAAACATTTGAATGTCGACGTTTCCCACATATCTTATATTCAATGGGTTGCTTAATGGAAATTTCACAGGAAACCCCAAATTTCATGAACAAAAAAGCATGGTTATCATGGTTTCCGGTTAAGATTTTCCCTTAAACCAATCCTATGTTACCCTCTGGTAAACAGCCACAGAACTATGGAAAATCACCATGCTATTAATGGGTATTCATCAACTATAAATGGGCCATTTTCAGTAGCAAACTGTTAGTTTACCAGAGGGTATATGATATGTACAATGTATGGTTTCTGTCGCTCCATTGGCTTGCGCCTTCGAGGAGCAGAGACGTGTTTGGCCAACCTGTCCTTTGAAGTGGCCGATTTCAACCGCTGGAGCTGGGAAGACGAAAACGTGGACGTTGGAAGGGCCTTGATCTGCACCCTGCATGCGATGGAAAATTTTGACCCTAGAAGTACTGTAGATTAGTGTACCACATTTTTGGCCATATTCTGGGGATATTCCCTACATAGCCCTGATCAAAAATGAGGCTGGTCAATATTGTAGCCCCATCAACTTCATGGGACAGGATGTAGATTCTTTTGGGTGTGCCTGAAAATGGCTTATTACCATTCATATGCATATATATATATTATAATATATATAGATATATATTATAATATATATATATAAATATAATATACAATATATATATAATATATATATAATATTATAATATATATATTATAATATATATATATATATTATAATATATATATAAATAAAACATATAATATAATATATTTTATATAATATATATATATAATTTATTGTATACAATATTTATAATATATGTAAAATATTATATTCAATATTTATAATATATATATACTCTGTATCGTTATATACATATTTTCTATATTTACAGGCATCCATGTTTCGACAAAGGTGCTTAGGGTGGGATCGACAACCATGCTGCGACCAGCATGGAGATTTTTTCACCAGCAAACATGGGGATACAACGTGATACAACCATCAAGTGTGAGGATATCATCGGATACAATATAACAACTTATTGGTGGTTTCATTTTTGTTTATTTTCCATAATATATGGGATAATCCTTCCCATTGACTAATATTTTTCAAGATGGTTAAAACCACCAACCAGACAATCTGGGTAAATTATAACGACCTCACTGTTCTCCCGAACCCTGGGTTCATGGTTTATTTTAGGAAATCATCCCAAAATGGCCCAACAGTTCAGGTTAGTGAAATATTATAATTTGCCCAGATGATATCATATAGCTGGAAAACTAGCATAAACTAGGCAGAACTATTGACAATTGCCAATTTATAGATGTTTTACCTATTCAAAATGTTGATTTTCCATTGCCATGTTAGTTGACCGGAGCCAATACAACTGGGTCAAGCGCAAAGAGAATGACAGGCTGGACATAGAGACGATGAGCAAGGATACATTCTAAATTTCATGATAATCTGCAAGAACACAAATCAGCGCTTTGAATCCTCAACATCTTTCGACATTTTTTGCTTTCCACCCTAAGATGGTCGCATCGATATGGACATGGTATTCCCATGGATATTCCCATAAAAGCTGGGTTTTTCACATGGTTTAACCATTCCACTGGGAATATCCATTGAAATAAAAAGCCACCAATCTTCAGTTTGTAGATTCCTGGCGCCGAGGTGTGCACGGTTGCAACGAGTTGAACCTCGCGGTGTTGCAGCGCGCAACGGAAGCGGAAGCGGTGTGGCTGGTGGTCCCTTGTTGCATCCGAGACGGCCTGGGAGCCAAGCTGAGAGATCGCAGAGAAAGCGCGGTGTTTTTGGGTCATCCTAGCGTCATTTTGGGTGTATTTGGGTGTGTTCTAAAATGAGCAGTGTTCAAAACCCTGGTTGGTTGATGATTAATGGGGATTATACTACCCAATATATTGGGGATTATAATAATCCAATAGGGAATCCCTATAAACGAACCAGTATATTGGAATGAACAGAGGCAGAAAGCTTGAGTTTGCAATGGCGGAGTGCGTTTTTGCCCTCGCGGCGTTCAACTTTATCATAGCTCATGGCAACGCCGCCGAAATCGCAGAGCTCCTGGCTGTTGGCCGACGGAAGCTCAGGCAAAGGGTTTTTCCCAAAGAACTGCTGTGAACCATCTCCTACACAACATCATCTGGTTGGTGGTTTGGAACATGAATGTTATTTTTCATATATTGGGAATAATCATCCCAACTGACTAATATTTTTCAGAGGGGTTGAAACCACCAACCAGTCATCTGTTCAATTTTCTTTTGACAACTTGACCTGATGGAGTTTCCCGGGAAGGCTTGATCAGATTTCCGGAAAACTTGACACAACAACAATTACTTCACATGATGTGGCACATTGAACAGGGGGCACCATGGCCTGCAGCCCTCCAAGTTGACCTCATAACAGCGATTGAAAAGCACCTCCATGCGCAAACACCTTCAGCCTTACGCCCAATCTGTGTGTTGTCCTTGATTTACAGAACTTGGTCCAGTATCAGAACCAAAGAGATTCTCAAATGGTTGGCCCAGTTTTCCCCTGCAGGGCTGATTGGTAACAGGTCCCGTAAAGAGACAGCACATATCTGGTACTCAATTGCAGCCATGATTGAAAGGACCTGGTATGATGGAAGCACATTGACAGGCTGTATAAGCGACATTGTGAAGTGCTACAACTGCTTGCCCCGCCCCAGTTTTTGCCATTGCCAAAAGAATGCGATTGCCAGAGCAAATCCTTCGACCTTGGTACCATGCCATAACAGGGTTAGAGCAACGGTTTGTAATCACAGGACGGTCAGGACCAGGACTCCGGTCCACGACAGGTTTCCCAGAAGGTGATCCACTTAGTGTCACATCCATGTACCTAGTAAATTTGGTCTTGTTCGAATGGGTCAAACTTGACACACCTCAAATCCAACTTTGGAGCTTTGTCGATAACTTGAAGACTACAGGTGAAACCCCTGAGGAAACTCTGGATAGTTTGATCAGCATCCAATCCTTTTGTGATGCCTTGGACATCCAGCTAGACACAGCCAAACCATTTGTTGGGCAACAGAGACAGAGGCAAGAGAATACATGAGGCTCTCAGGCCAAAATGTTGTCTACGACACCAAAGACTTAGGGGGCCAACTTGTCTTTTGCCGACGACACACCAACAAAGTGGTCCGTGCACGAGCTACAGTACAGGCATGGCCGAAAGCATTGCACGGCATTAGTACCACCATATTTGGATCAGACCATGTGCACAAACTCAGAACCAAGGCACTACGAGCATGGGATGGTCCAATAAGGGAATGCACCCGATGCTACAGCTTTCATGCCTGTGTGACATTCGCAGTGAACCAGGGTACTGGTGTTTGTGGCAAACAGTCAACGCATTCCGCAGATTTGCTGATGAGTTGCCCAGCCATGAAGTTTTGGATTACATGGTTGCACACCCTGACAAAAGGATAGATCCTGGCCCCTGCCGAGTCATGCTCCAACGCCTACACATGATAGCATGGTCATGGATAGGACAAGGATGGTTTCAAGACCACCAAGGACTCCTGATTCACCTCAAAAATAGCCCGATCCAGTTGTTGAAACGCCGTTTGCAACATGGATGGCGAGCCCTAGCATGCGCCACAGCAGCTGAGCGTAAGTCAATGCAGGGCCTTGCGCAAGCTGATGTGTCCTTTACACTTGCAGCTTTTCAGCGATGAGCCCAAAGGAGCAAGGGTACATGAGATACGCCCTCAAAGGCAGTTTCTACACCAACGAGAAGCTTATCCATAGTGGTATTGTGAATGACAAAAATGCATTTGGTGTGAAGCCGACGACTCAGGTTGGCACAGACATTGGCAATGTCAACGCAATGCCGACCTTGTAGCCCAGCTACCAGACAGTTTGCGTGCTTGTTTTCAAGATTTGCCCCCTTGTACAGTCAACCACGCATGGCTGATAGAACCCACCAATTTGCTACCCTATTGGAAATTGCTTTTTGAACTGCCTGACAAGTCACGCCAATGCCATCCACATTGACTTTTCTTTTGCACGCATATTCACAGATGGAAGCGGATGGTTTCCCAATGACACCGTACTGCGAGTAGCAACATGGGCGTTTGTTGTTGCGGACCTACCCGATGAAGGTTTCGCCAAACTTGCTCAAGGCTTTGTCCCAGATCTTATTCAAACTGTTTTGTGTGCAGAGATTTGGGCCGTTATCGCAGCATTGGAATGGGTATTGGAGACTTCCACACCCGCAATCCTTTGTGTTGATAACCAACAGGTTCATACCACAGTTGAAACATTTAGGCTAGGTCAACCACCATGCACCAGCAACTGCCATGGTCATGACCTTTGGTCCAAAGTCCATGAGCTGTGTGAAAAGTCGGTTGAACGCAACCTGCTTATCAAACTGTATCCGAGTCCATTTTGGCAGGTATGGGATGACCTGCACAAAGAATATGAAATTCAAAAGCAAAGGTGTGATTCTCTATTTTGGCTTTTTCCCACTGTCGGCCAAAGGGCACAGATGACGAAGAGCATGCACTGACCAGGGTTTTGCGGACGAGAGAACAGAGGCCCCACCCGTTGTGCCTGAGGACCAAGATTGCATTTTTGAACCTTCGCCAAATTGGGAGAGCCGTGGCCCTGCTGTACACTTAGGTGATTGTGGACCGGCAGTTTACAACTGGTTTCAAAGATGCACAACCGCTTTGGATTTCATCCTATCAGCTTTTAGTCCATTTCCAGCTCTTTTCAGGTAGCATTGGCCCAGTTTGTGCGCATAAACAATGGTTTGCAGGTGAGGATAGACCAGACTCCCTTGCTGAATACGATTTTTTTTGCAACAGGCTACATGGTGGAGCCATTACCTACGTAGAATTGGAACGGCATTTGGATTAGAAGTAAAACCAACGCGGAGACGGCCGACAGGTACATCAGTTGCAATCTGGACCCGGTGTTTTTACATCAGATTTTCTCTGACTGCTGTTGCTGGGGTGGACAGATGGATTCTGTCACATACAGGACGACCAGTGACGAAGGTTGGACAGGAAATGAAAGATATCCCCGCCCCACTACGGGGAGGGTGATCACGATCTTCGTTGGCAGCCCTCGTTGTTTCACCAGCGCAGGACATCAGAGCCAAACGAGAAACGGAGAAATGGAATGATAGAGGGATTTTGACCACTGCTCAAATTAATGGGGGTGTCCCAAGATCCAAAGATGATGCTTTTTATTCGGAAAACGATGGAAAATCAGTTGTGGGGGGCGAATTTAGAAAAGACTGGAACCAGGTGAAGCAGTTGGGATGTTGGATTGAGAACGACGACCCAACTTCGTATTTTTACACTTGACCCATCAGTGAAGTCTTTTTACAAGTTCAGTTCCTTCAAGCAGCAAAATGAAGTCATCATGAACTCATACCTCGCTCGTATTCAGGGACTCAACATATTATGTACTTCAAAAAAATGTGGGTCTCCTAAACCTCCAACTTCTACGGTCTTTTTTCCATACTTTCTGTTACCAAAAAAAACGACCATGCTTGCCACCACCTAGGCCTGGGCCAAGTCTCCGTTCGCAGTCCAAGCCTGGAAGGAAGCGACGACACCCGACACGCCCTGCTCTGCGGCGTTGTGGCGGCGGAGTTTCGGGCCACTGCGGTGAGCTGCATCGATCGATGCATCACCAACCGACATTTGGTGATTCAGGGAGATGCCCAAAATGCGGCGAAAAGTCCAGTCGCGACTGTCGAAAAATACTGGGACCCTTGGAAAAATCCGTGAAAATCACGAAAAACAAACTGAAATGGCTGATGTTTGGTGATTTTTACGGATTTTGTGATTTTCGAAATGCATGTTTTGACTGATTCCACTGGTTCTAATGTTGATGGATTATTGATTGGATTGGGTGATTGGATCGGAAACATTGATTGGAATAGATGGAATAGAGGGAATCAATATTAATCCATGGCATCCAAATCAGCCCAAAGTCTGTGCATTGGGGCATGTTCTTGTATTTGCCGGGTCGATGTTTTTATCAACTTCCCCATTGGTGTTTTTCCAATAGAACTAGGGGACCAACTGGAAAAATGTTTTTTGATGTTGCGGCTGTCTTAAGCGAATCCAAATTGGTTTGGACTGGTGATGTGTCCTGGATCGAAATTGCCCCGTTGGGGGAGATCTCGTTTGGGCGTCCCATGGTGTCTCCCACCCACCGAAAATCTTTGAAACGCCTAGACCTAAATCAGCGTGTGAAACAGTGATACTTATGGGACATTTTGGCAACTCCATTTCCCAGACCCCTTTCAAAAGATGCCGAAAAATTGAAAACCTGGAAATATGATGTAAGTAGTACAATACAAGATTATATAGTTACAATATATTATATAATATTATATTATAATGTAAGTAATATGACATTTTTTTTTGAAGGTTCCTATATAATTTGTGCTTTCCGGTGATTTGTGCTTTCCGATGCCGAAGTTTTCTTCTCATGAATGTTCTGAGTACCCCGAAGGCGTCCAGAACTTGAAGGATCGCTGATGTCACCCAGTTGGTTGATGATGACTTTGACAGCTACCATGGCCATCCGTCAGTGGTGAAGTTTGTTTTAGATCGTTTTCATCCAGGCTTAATTCTTGGTATTTTCAAGATGTTCGCATCCTGAAAGTCCTGAAGTCACCAAACTTGTGCTTATGGGAAAGACGGGTAATTGCCGTGGTTTCCACATGTTTCCACATCAAAATAGCTGGTACAGATGTTCATCTCACGAAAAAGTCTCATCCCATACAAGGTGAGCCCTCTCAGTTGTAAGTTGGTTGTAGTTGGTTACATGGTCTAAACCCTATCAACTATAGCTATAGTATGCTATAGTTATATCATGTTATACCATTGCCATAAACATCATCAACCATAGTTATCTGGTTATCTAGGGGCCTTGACCTTGCAGTTAATTGCACGGTTACCCAGAGTAGTGATGAAGGACTCTTAATTTTTATACCCCCGCATCAATAGACTGGAGTTGTCGGCAAATTCCGTTGAGATTCTTGCTGCTTCGTCCAGCTGTTAAATCCCACTTATGGCTGGTAAATCCCTACTATATCCCATGAAATCTCCATATGGTTGGCTACAGGCATCCCCTGTATATACTGTACCCATCTGTAGCCCATTATATAGCCATGAAGAGCTATATAGACTTTTTTGTTTTTTTATAAAGTGTATAGATCATTGTCCTCCATATGTTCTTATTCAAGTTAGGATTGCCGAGTATTACTGTACCCACTATGTGAATCCTGGGTAATGTGTTAATTAAACCCAATGCCGTAAACCTACCATTTGAGGATGCTCTTTACAACCAATATATGATGATGTTGGGGATGGTTTATGGCATTGGGTTTATCGCATTATTATTAGAGATTCCTATGAGATTCCTGTTGGGTATAGTCATTAATCAACTCTTCTATCCCATTCAATCTGGCTTTAATGTACCATAATATACCCATATTAATTCTTAGAGATTCCCTCGCCCTTGCTCAACCTCTTGGCACCGCAATTTTCAGCTCTGTCTCCTCCGATTCGACAGGCCGTCAAAAGGCCGGTGGGCCATGTAGCATATCATGCCCATCGTCACCCACATGACAAATGGGTGTTTCCTAAAATGATGATCCCCAAGTTACCATGCGTTTCAATACTAAAATGGCCTAAGTTTGGATGATTTGGGGGTAACCCTATTTTAGGAAACTCCATATTGTAATCAGAGTAGTAGCAAACATGTTCGCGCCAACCCGGACGTGGCTCCACACTTACAATCGTCATGATCATGATCATCATCACCACCACCATCACCATCACATCATCATCATCATCATCATCACAATCACCATCACACCATCACACCATCACACCATCACATCATCACATCATCACATCATCACATCATCACATCATCACATCATCACATCATCACATCATGACATCAGGATCATCATTACATTAAAATTCGCCACCCCCTCTGAACAATATGTTGACTGGGGTAATAACATCAACTTTATCTTCATGAGGGGTCAAAATTCGCCACCCCCTCTGGACAATATGTTGATTGGGGTAAAAACATCAACTATATCTCCATGAGGGATCAACAATCGCCACCCCCTATGAACAATATGTTGGTTGGGTAGTAACATCAACTTTATCTTCATGAGGGATCAAAATTCGCCTCCCAGTATGAACAATATGTTGATTGGGGTAAAAACATCCACTTTATCTTCATAAGGGATCAAAATTCGCCACCCCCTATGAACAATATCTTGATGTGGTATTAACTAACATCAATTTTATCTTCATGAGGGATCAAAATTCGCCACCCAGTATGAACAATATGTTGATTGGGGTAATAACATCAACTTTATCTTCATAGCCACCTGAAGTCAGACGCGGCGCAGCGTCAGGGTTGCAGCGAACATGTTTTGTTCGAATGTTTGTAATAAACAGTCATAATCATAGTCATAGTAGTAAAATCATAGATAGTCATAGTCATAGTGATAAATGATGATAATAACAAAAAATCATCATGATCATACTTCTATATAATTTTCATTATCATCATAATCATCTTCATCCCTGGGCAAAGATCCGGTTGGGGAATATTGGTGAGCTCAGCCGCGTACTTTTTGGCCAGGCACGGCATCTTTACCCAGTTTCAACACAGCCTACTAAACACACCACCAATCACCCATGTGGCCAATTCTTTGCGCTTTCCCAGTTTCGGAGTCAATGTTTTGAGCTGATTTTGGTTGGTAGTCACGGTAGTCTCCCCATTCTATGCATATGTCCAGTTCAAGTTCAAGTTGACCCCAATGGCTGCTGGCTACATCATCTTACATCCCCATTCTTGCATTGTTTGAGTTTAAATTTGCGGGCGTCCATTTTTCTGAGTTGTTTACCCCATGTGTTTCCTTTTTTTTCGAGATCTTCGGGTTGCAGTTGGATAAATCCATTGGACAAAGCTGCGGCTCGCGAGGCAAGGCCCTGACTCGCTGAGTATTCGGCAGCCATGAGCATGGATCACATTAGGGAGCCAAAAATCCGAGGGAGTGAACCAACCAGTGGGATTTTTCAGAGGCTACATCATGACGTTAGCAAACCACAATGGACCAAAACGAGGGTTTAAAATAGATTAATAATCGTAGTATATAATAATAATTAATATATATATATATAAAACATAATAGATAAAATGGATTGTTAGACTGTTAGTGCTTAAAATTGTTTAAAAAGGGTGCTCTAAAAAAACCTGGCGGACAGCGTCCAGCGATTTCGGGTATCTATGGGATCCTAAGGCTTGGCCGGGCTACGGGTACCAATACTCTCCAATGAACAGCGATCCATCAATGACGTTATTTCCATAGTTATTTCATGTTTATTTCCTGTTACATATTTTTTTGATCAATTCTGATTGATTTCAGAATTACTTCTTATTTCTATATTTTGATATATTTTGTTTAACATCTGTTTTGAATCAGTTCTTTCAGAATTTGAATTCTTTATTTCCAGATTCCATCTTTCCAACGTTCGATTTCCAGAGGTCAGACAGGTCATTCCACAGATCCGTCATGGCGCAGGAGCCTGTCTTCTGCGACCAGCCTTTCACTCAGACCTTTCCCTTGCCACCTGCAGTTCCTTGGCCGACAGGTCTGGGGTTGTCCGAAACTTTTGGGGAAAACCATGGGAAAATTTCAAATTCTTGGGTAAAACCATGGAAACCTCCTAAATTTCAGGGAAAACCATGGGAAAAACCAAAATTTTGGGTAAAACCATGGAAGGAACCCAACAGTTCATAATTTTATGGGATTGACCAGCCGACAAGAATGAGATATACTGAGACATAATGGGATATATAGCCAAGAACATGATATTTGAATATATATATATATATATGTATGTGTGTTTTTGAAAATGATGTTGTTCTGCCCAAATGGCCATTACAATGGGGAAAATGATGATGATCCACTGGGTTTTCGGGGAAAACTATTTTCGGCGGTCCAAAGAGGTGATCCACTGAGAATTCGGTGGGCTTTCTATGGGTTTCTTAGGGGGCTTATCTAGTAGAATGACACTGACAAGTGTGTAGGTGACACGAGACCTGGCCAAGCATTTGCCAATGATCTGCACATTTTGATGGCTGTGTTTCGAGGGAAGATATTCAAAGTTGCCTAGATTGTCATTCAAGTGTGGCTTATTCCCATTTTGTCCATATTTGTCCCTGACTCCGGAGGTGGTTTGGTGGTTTGTCTGATGGCGCCCCGGTTGAAACGGCTTACGGTTTCTCAAATGTCTACGGTAGAAGCATGGGTTCTTGTGGTCCGTCCAGTATGGGGATCAGTAACAAAAAAACCCATAGAATGCCTCCATAGAACCACCAAGTGCTCCGTTTTGCAAACTGGGTTACGATTCTAATAGACTAGGCTTAAGGAATCATTTCTTCTGAACGACCTCTCAGCAAATGATGGCTAGCAGGGTCAACTGCTCCCAAAATGGTGTTATTTCAGGTCGGGGTATTGGTTTGTAATTTGCTTTTGTTTTCCAAGATTCCTGGATTTTTAGGGGACATGTCCAAAGTTTCTTTAGGCGCACTTAAGTTTCCAATTATTTTCAGGGAGGCTACATCACCATTTCCTCGCTTCGCTGAAAGGTGGCTAACAACCCCTGTATTTGTTGCATGAAAGGTTCCTTGGTGAGAAGAGCTGGCTTGAGATCGGTAACTTCAAGTTGTGACGTTTTTGACGGAAATAACATGATATCATGATATCATCTGATACAACCAGGTTTAGACTTAGCTAAACTTTCAAGATTTTGTAAGGGGGGCATCATTTGGGTGTATCCGAAAATGGGGTATTCATTCCCAATTATGGCAATTCGAAGTGGCAAGCCGGCATGATTTTCGGATGTTTGGGTAATTCTTCTGTTTTCAGACCCCATCAAAATCATCAAACAAACTTAGGTTTATAGTTCGCTAACTTAGTTTATGTCCGATTCGGAACCGGGTTGGGCTTTGTGGCTGGGAGAACTCATCAGAAACTCACTAATTATAAATCAAAAGTTATGGATAATATTATAGAAACTCCATTACATTACATCATAATCATTATAGTATCCAAAATTATTCGATTTTTGGCGCTATATTCACTCTTTTCGATTGAGAACATGTATCTTTGTTTTGCAGAAATCAGAAGATATGACTCTGCAAGGTGCATAGGTGAAATTCTTGTTCGCTTTTCTGGCTGTGTCGGACTAGGACATTTTTGCAATCCTGCAATCTCTTTTCATATCTCCGATCATCTGCGTATGGATTCTCATCGGTAGTTGGGATTTATTTATTTCTGTGGTCTTCCAGCACATATTTGTTGTTCAAATGATCCCAATTGGTTCTTGTTTCCACCTAGAATTGACCAATTACCTAAATTTCGGCTATATATTTGGCATGGTGCTCCCCAATTTACATTCACTACTAGTACTGGATGGATGTATATAGAGACTATCCACAAAAAAAACAACACAGCGAGTGATGAGATCAATGCATGGAAGTCATGTTACATTTTTCATCTGGGATGGAGCAGCATCATGCATCGAAGCGATCCAACTGTAGATCTTTTGGGTTTCGTCTGAACATTTGGGAGAAACCCTCACATTTGATGGTTAAGAAACATATCAATGAATGAAAACTGCCATTTCTAGGGATTGTGAGGTATACCCCATTAAGAAATCCCATCAATCGTTGACCGATGCAGGTTTTACCTATCCAGGTAGCCGCGGTAGCCACCGATCCAGGTGCGTTTCCGAAGATTCGTGGCATCCCCACTGGCTCCCAGCCGATGCCGCCTGAGGCTCCTGCCAGCTGATCAAATGTGGATTTTCCCCCGGACATCTAGTGACATCTACAGAAATCCAGCACTTGGACTTGGATGACTTGGGGAATTGAATGGAATTGAGTAATGTGTTTTTTTTTTTACTATGCCATAAAATCACCACATCCCCCAATCACATTTTTTTATAGGTGGTAAAAGTAAGGGAATATTCTTTTCTTATCGTTTTGGGGTTCCTTAATCCAAGACAAGATTGGGCATAGAACTAACCAGCAATAATGGGGAGTTTTCACCAGCAAACATGGGGATACAACGTGCAATACAACAATCTGGGTAAATTTCATCACGAGCTCACTGTTCTCCCGAACCCTGGAATCATGGTTTATTTTAGGGAAATCATCCCCAAAATGGCCCAACAATTCAGGTTAGTGAAATATTATAATTTACCATAATTTACCCAGAGCAATATTAGCAACAATATTGGGATAACATTGGGGTATAATGAGATCTAACATTTTTTAACCAACATCAATATATGATATTTGGGCGGTTTTTCATAGGGATGGGATGGATGATTTTGTCATGGGATGAGGATGTTCCTCTATGTGGTTGTAGCGGTCTCCCTCACAAGGTATATAGGTGTATTTTAAGTTGCCCTAGGATCTGATTAGATCATCATGAACCATTAATCTGGTTGGTGGTGACTGGAACATGGCCATTTACTATGGTTATATTTGGTTATTTCTATGGGTATATATGGTTGGTGGTTTGGAACATATGGGTTATTTTTCCATATATTGGGAATGTCATCATCCCAACTGACTTTCATATTTGTTAGAGGGGTAGATCAACCACCAACCAGTTATTGATCTACTTCCAAGATATCCAACTGTTCAAACCGAAAAGGAACTTACCCAACTGGGCTTTGGAAGACAATTTTACTGCTGAAAATGTCCATACAATGCTTGTGTTGTTGGTTCCACGCTGGATTTGTGAGTGTATACGATGAGAGTTTTGGAGCCTTACAGTATTAGCCTCAAAGTCGTTGGTAGGTCATGAAACATTTACGCGCATCAGTTGGGGCCATCGAGTCTCATGCCAGCGACCTTAATGGCTCATACAACAGTCATGCATCATACAAGCAGTGAATTACTACAAACATTTGGAGGGGATGATAAGTTTTGGTAAACCATAGATGTGGATAAACTGATTGGTAAGATTTAGACTGGTTGGTAATTATAAGTAACCCATGGATGGTAATCATGTTTGATAAGTTTTATTTATGATAAAATATTGTCAAATTAAATAACATAGATATGGAAAAACCATGGTTCGATCGTTTGGAAAACGATCAAACCATTGTGGCTTTTCCACTTCACACATCTGTCAAGCGGCGTGCCCGGGGGCAAGGAGGTGGCTATGCTCTTGAAGCAGTTGGAGGGCACTTGGCACATTCAAGTTCTAGAGAGCCCTTGGGACTGGCTGCTTTCCGTTGGGATCCGGGTGGGCTACATCCTGCAGTGCCTCTATGGGTTGCCTTGACCGAGCCCATATGAATTGATATCAAACACACATTAAAAACATCTCATCTATTATGCATCATATGATAATCAATGATAATCAATGAAAATCATATGGCATGTTGATGATTGGCTAAATGGTCCTCAGTATAGGGAAAACTAGCCTAGCTTTGATGCGTTATCCCGATTTTGGCAGATGCCGCACATTCGTCACACCAGTCTGATTGCCCATGATTCCTATTAGTCAGAGTATTCCTTAGTTCATTGTTTCAAGATGTTTTTTCCGCAACCCCAAACATCAATCGAACAGTTGGATAGAATATCCATGAGCCAAAGATCATCAGCAATATCCTGGAGTATGTTTGTTAGCAAATCCAATCAATTCCATGAAAGTTTGCAAATATTATTTGAAATCTATTCATTGAATAATCAATTTTTGGATCACTTTGACTTGCCATGTTTGATTATTCATGCTGAATCATCCATATTTTGTCGATTGTTAGTGGCACAATCCAGACATTTTGTCATCATGGATAGACTATACTTTGACAATAATCGAACAACATCAGCAACCACCAAAACTGAATGCTTTATCTCAATGTTTTGTAATTTTGCCCCAGACTATGACTTCATTTGAACCATTCATCTCTCGAGGCATGGGCCGTGGGAACATCTCATACGATCAGGTGCAGCGACTTCTCGCAGCTGCATGATGGAGTTAGTTAACCCAATTAGTAAATGGACTCTATATATACTATATATATTATGTGTATATATATATATATTTGAGATATAGTGGTTTATACATGATATTATATAATCCCGCATAGGATCCATGGTGCTGGTATATATGCTAACATTTCGGGTATATTAATGGGATCCATGTTACCATATGGCAGCACCATGGATCCTATGGCTCATCGCTGAGATATTCCTCGATTCGAGATCCCGGATGCTCCACACGTCTCGCTATGGCATGGTACGGCAGATAACTCGTGAAAAGACAACGGAAATGATCCAACGGTTCAATATATACAATATATATATATACCTGGGGCACCCCCAGGACACCTTTTCCTGTCCAGATGAGAAAAAGTAAACTATTGGAAAGTTGGACAGGAATTGTTGTCCGGGACGGCTTTTCATAAAGCGCTGTCAAACGATGACATTGTACGTAATTTTTGCGCAACTTGAACGTAATTTGAACGCAATTCGAACGCAATGTGAACGTAATTTGAACGCAATTTAGCCAAAAGGACGTGAAAAACCGTTCGGCTATCGGAAAGGGCGTGAACTTTCGATCTTGGACGTGAAAACCGTCAAAAACTATGAAAAGACAACTTTTGTGGATCTGGACAAGAAAAGGTGTCCCAGGGATGCCCCAGGTATATATATATTAGTTCAATATGTAATCTTTAAATCAAACCTGGTTGGTGATTCATGTAAGTATACAATACAGCCCGTCAAGCTGTATTGAAATCTGATTATCCGGCAAGATATGAGGGACCACAAACATTTGTGACACAGCAACGGCTGGATGGCGGAATTTTACACCGCGATTTGGCACTCGCTTCGTTGCAGAGTTGTGCAGTTCATTTTTTTGTTGGTGCGCGCTTCGTTGTGCAGTTCATGATGACGTTGGTGAATGGTTGGTTAACGGATGGATTTTCCGCCATTTCTATGTGGAAGTCTGTGGAAGTCAGATTTTGCCGGGTATCAAAGGCTGGTGATTTTCGAAAAAAAAAAACAGTTCTCTGCTGATTTGGGGTGCGAAATGAATCGTTTGAATCTCATGACCGGGCGAAAGCCATGATTTACGAATCAGGTTAGTTGCAGAATCTTGAAGCAACGACAAAAACCATGACTTCAGTATTGTCTTTTGCTGATGTGGAGAAACACCAAGAGATGATTTTGCCATATATTTTTCAATAGAGATCATTGATATATATATAGATATGATATCATGTGATATCACTCAGATTTCATTTCTAAATTGGGGATTTTGTCAAGTCGCCGCGCGAATCCATTTGGTCCAAGAGAGGTGATGGTCCGAGACAACTACTATGTGATGTCAGGAGCGCCGTGCAGCGCCGTGGGCGGTCCACAGTCACACAGGCCGTTGTGAAAATACTGACGTTTGAACATGGTGAAAAAGCCAAAAAAAAAAGAGGAACAAAGCTGGTTCTGGATGTTTCAAACGATGCCATATCTATCCATATCTATTTTCGGCCAGTACATGAATGACTACTTTTGACCAACGAATTGTCATCGCCGCCCAAGAGTGGTGAATGATGCCATGCTCTCTTTGTTAGGAGGGATGCGGAACCAAACGGTGCGAACTCATGGTCGCAACGGCCATGCCCAGAGACATCAGGTGCGATAAGCCGAAGGGGGGCCAACTGCCTGGCACAGACCTGAAATGTCAGAAACGTGAGTGGATAATGTAACATCAATTCATAGATCATATGAATCATATATACATTTATATATAATATCATCATGTCATACGGTTTATAGTAGAATATAGTAGATCATGAAACTTCAAAACCAACAGGACCATCGTGCTGGAAGCCCATGTTTGGCAAGTTCCATTGTTACTTTTCACGGAGGATATGACCAAGACCGGGAAACAAGCAACGCTATTTTTACTAGGGATTGCCCAGCTAACGTCTGTGTTTTCCATCGCTGGCTGGCTTTCGATGTCAAGCAAAATTTTGGGATTGTTTTGAATCACCGAGCACTGTCTGACGGGCACTAGCGCAAAAGATCCTCAATAGCTATTAACGGGATTGAATTAAAGAACGAGATAGTGGAAAGTCTGGTTTTACCATCCAAATATGGAGGTTGGGACTTCATTTGGCTGAAGTTGAAAGCCGACTCTTACCTGTATTGGTTTGAGGGAACACCAGGAAACAACTTATATAGTTGGGGCTCAGAACCAGAGAGTTTCAACCGCAGATTTTCCCCACTCTTGATCATTTGTGATGGTCACATCCCATCAAAATGGGGTATAACCCCCAAAAAGGTCATTGAATGGGACATATTTCATGGTTAACCAATGGATTTTAGGAATGCCCCATTTTCAAACAAAGCCACATGGCATGATGCCAAACATTCCCAGGTGGCTGTGGCCAACACTGCCACGAAGGAATACTTCCATTTCTACAAGGGTCCCAACCAGGCGGCGGGAGTGATCAGACAGTAATGCAAATTGGAATGGCTTTAAAATGATATGCCCCAAAAATGGGTTTGTCTGAAAAAAAAATAGGTGAACAAAAAACACTTTTCACTGGTTAATCATACTATTTTCTCCATGAAATGACAATTCTATTGAGCCCTGAGATACGAAACACCCATTTCTGGGGCCCCATTTTTCATGGGTCGCCAGAGCCACCTCAGTTCCATCTATTTGGGACCCATAGGCACATATTTACATTTCTGTAATTCATCTGTTACAGCAGACAGATATACATCTGGTTATATACATAGATCTGGGTAAATTATAACGACCTCACTGTTCTCCCGAACCCTGGAATCATGGTTAGTAAGGGACTCAGGTTAGTGAAATATTATTATTTACCCAGATAGATAGACAGATGTCTATTAACAACATCTCTGCTCAGGAGGTTTACGCTGACTTCATTGGTAGCCAACTGGTGAAGATGGACTTCGATGGGGGAGAAGTGGAACTGAACAACGGCTCCTGGAATTGAAAGCGTTCGGCAGGGCCGGGCACAGGGTGTCATGATTGCCATGGCTGTGGGAAATCAAGGGAAATCCCTGGAAAATTGAATGTAAATGGACATTTAGATAGGACAGCCCCATCAAAAATGGACATGAAAACGGTACTGTTAAATTGGGATAGGGCCACGAAATCGAGGGATTCTCCAGCCATGATTGATTACCGGAGGTTAGGTCCCAGACACGACGGCCCTGCCAGGGGTTCTAAACGGGCTATTCTCATCTATTCTCAGGGTCTGTGGTGGTTGCGGGTGCTCTATATATATATATATACTATTTTTTATATTTGTTACATGACATATCTCACTTTGAAAATTGAAAAGATAATGGGATTAAGAATTTACTCAGCATCCCTGAAATATGTTCTCTGCGATTAAGCACTACCAACATATTACGATTTACATGAGGGCTGTTTTGCTACCCCATTGCCAGATAATTCAAGTGGAAGATTATCCCGGAGGTCGAATTGTCCAGCTCCTATATCTCGTTATCCGCCAACAAACTCTTGCAGGGGGATTTTCTGGTAATTGAAGCTAACCCAGCAGCAAAGTATTTCCTAGAATTAGAGATTTCCCAAATGATTGATTTGCCAAAAATTGACCGGAAAGAATTTGTTGTCTCGTTAGGTCCCCGGTTTAAAGAAACCACAGGCGAAAATGCCCCCGACTTGGGAACTTTTCATTTGCGTATTCGCCACGAGTATTGGGAGACCCACTGAGAACTGCGCCGGGTATCAACGTCAGGCATGTGCGCAACCCAGCTAAGTTGCCAATGACCCACGTATAATATCATACAATTATAAGCTACATTAATTGAATATATAATAATAATAATAATTAATCATATATATATAGTCATATATATATAATATTATTATATTAACAGGCTATACAAGTGGATTATAACCATTTTTGTGGCATGCTCTACTGGAAGCTTTCGAAATGCGCTGGCGAATCCAACCCGAAGGATTTCTGCTCCACAAAGAGATTCAACGCTGAGCATCTTCGGTATGAATTATATATATATATTGAATTGCGATATGTCTGGAAAATTCCATGTTCTTTTCAATTTTTAATATTTAAGGATATTGATTTTGGATAATTATAAGAAAGACGATTGCATCTCTTCAAGAAATTGGCCTGTCCGAAAATATGGCGGGCCCAAATCCACTGCTTATTCATCATGTTCCCTATTTTTCATTTGTTCAATGGCATTTTGCGGGGTGAACAAACCCCTTGAATCCCGGGATGCCCAACAATGCTGGTGTCATCGAAGGGGTTGGTTGGATCCTCGTGTATATATCCAGACGTGGATCTCCAAGAAAATTCCCAACGTGGCGGAAAATCGCCCCTTTCGCGATGGACCTCTATAAAAATAGAGGATAATAGAGGACTTCCTGCCACATTACCGGATGGGGTGGCCTGGAGGTCTTGGCATGACGCTGTTGTGGCAACGTGCTTGGAAGAGGGTCGGTTGCTGCAGATACCGCACCCGGCGTTTGTTTTGGGGAAGAAAATAGATCCAAGCCCCAAAAAATATGTGACCGGTCCTATGACATAGGGATTATAATGGATATGCAGTAATGGCAGATACATGGCCAACTTGATACAGTAGGCCATTTGGGTGTGTCTGAAAATGGGGCCAATGGGCCCCAAACACCGTTAGTCTATATATAGAGTAATTAATAGGAAAAGAGTAATTATTATTATTATTATTCTTATTATTATTATATATATATATAATATTTTTTGGTTGCTTTCCATAATGTAATTCTTAGAAGAAGCCAGATTAGCAGCTATGTTTTGGGTGTTTCCCTTGAATTTTCAGAAGAAGCAAGATTAGCGGCTACACCCAGCAGATATATGTTGCCATAGATCAGGGGGTTCAGTTGGGGGTAGACGCACTACAGTTTTTGGCGCATGGGGAGGTGGTTGAATCATCAAATGTCCGGAAAAAAATGGGTTCCGATTTTTGATGATTCCTATTTGTTGGTTTCCATTGCTGTCGAGGAGATGTTTTCTTAACTCAAAAGGCTATTAAGATCTGCTAAGTATGTCGTATGCTCCCATTTTCATTGCTTCCCCCAAAATCCTTGCTTGTGTTTATCAAATTGTTGGGTTGTGGTTCCCATCAACCGAGATCGGGTCAGAACAACATGTGGCAATTGACTAATATGGCTTGCCAGGATGTTGAACAACTGTTACGCGGCCGAACATAAATATTAATATATCAATGGATTTGTCAAAAACAAAGGACACGCCCCAAATTTGCCATTTGAATAGGACAATGTCACAAACAATTGGATTTTCGGAGGCATTTTTTTCAGAGAAGCTATTATTATATATAGTCTTCCAAATTCTGTTTAAACCTGCCAACATGATCTTAAATCTAAGACAATGTTTATGATCCGATATTTCTCCAGGGTTTATGAGATCATATGTGATCATTTAGCACAAGACAAAAAACACATATATATATATATTGCGGTATTATTTGTTTTCCATGGGTTACCAGGCTCTAGTAACCCTATTTCCATGTGTCAGCCTGAAGTAAACCAACATAGATATGACAAACCCACATGCAGATCACGTCCCAACGGGAACCCCGTAGATTTCCAAGGTTTTTTGTATGTTTACTAGATGGTAAATCATGTAAAACCACCATTTCTGATGCTTAAATCAGTTCAATCCCAAATTTTAGGTGAGTTTAACATAGTTTTAATTTAAAGGCTTACGCCTGACAGCCGGGCGCCGGCCAAGCAATCTTGGCACCATGTTGGCCCTATGTTGGGCCTATGTTGGCCTATGTTGGGCCTATGTTGACCCATGTTGAGCCATCTTGGGAGCTATGTTGGGTCCATATTTGGGCCATCTATGTTGAAACGATCTTAAGATGCCAATTTTTCCGCCCCGGTCCTGCTGCTGCAACTGCTGCTGCGGGTGCTGCTGCTGCTGAGCCTCCAAAACGCACACCGAAACACCATGCCACTGAAGGACGGAGCGACCTCCAAAAACACGCTGCCCCGGGGCTTGACGTCCCTTCTGGATCCTCAGCTTGCGTTCAACAAGCCCGCCAAGCACAAAGTGCATGGCTTTGTGGCGCATGCGAAGCACCAAAACACACCACCTAATTTCGTGCCCAAAACGTAGCAAAGGAACCCAAAAGCGGTCCTAACGTCTCTTCTGAAACCCTACTAAACCTGAGACTTTTTCAACTGGTTACGCATGTTTGCCACATCTTGAAAGTTTGCCACATCTTGCGGCCAACAAATAATAGTAGTAGTAGTAGTAGCAGGAGTAGTAGTAGTAGTAGTAGTAGTAGTAGTAGTGGTAGTAGCAGTAGTAGCAGTAGTAGCAGTAGTGGTAGTAGTGGTAGTAGTGGTAGTAGTGGTAGTAGTGGTAGTAGTGGTAGTAGTAGTAGTAGTAGTAGTGGTAGTAGCAGTAGTAGCAGTAGTAGTAGTAGTGGTAGTAGTGGTAGTAGTGGTAGTAGTGGTAGTAGTGGTAGTAGTGGTAGTAGTGTTAGTAGTGGTAGTAGTGGTAGTAGTGGTAGTAGTGGTAGTGGTGGTAGTAGCAGTAGTAGCAGTAGTAGTAGTAGTCGAAACTCCTTTTCCCTGGCGTGCTCCCCCTTGCGTTGACAGGGTCGGCGGGTACGTTTTAACCAACTAAAATCACCATGTTTTGCAGATTGTTGGTTCAAACATCGGATCAGACAGTCACCGGTTTCGGTTTCGCTCCGATTCCTCCGATCATTGGATATAAATCCCATGGTTACTGGATATAAATCCCATGGTTACTGGTGTTATACGGTATATCCCAACTTATGGAGATTAAAATCCCAGGTGAGCCATTTATAAACTCGCTCTTGCATCACCAAGTGGATTATGAATTATATAAAAGCCTCATATCCTCATGAAATCCCCATGAAATTCCATGGTTAAGCCATGGGCCATGGTTTCTTCCGCGTTCGAAAACCCAGTTCGTGGGCCGCCAGGACGGCATGGCACCTCCCCAGCAGGGCATGGCTGCCGTGCCGGTGGTGCAAGCACAGGTGGTGGAAGCACAGGTGGTAGCCACAGGTGCGGCATAGGGTGTGGTGCAAACTGCACGTAGGGAATGGATGGGGGAATGGGATGATTTTTTGTTGGAACTTTGAGGTTTTCGGGATGGTTTTTGTGCGATAAATTTTTTGGACTGGAGGATTTTTTGAACTATCTTTGTCCGGGAAAAATCGTTTGATATCTTTTGGATGATTTTTGTTTGAATGTTTCTTTGGATTTGCTATTAGCTATGGTTTTACAAATTATAACAATTATATATGTGGTAGTGGCAAAAAAAAACAAAACAGTTCGAAACCATGGCTCATTCATGCTAGTTCAGTCATTTGATGATCATAGGGTTTGAATGATTCCAATTTTTTCGGGGTTTAGCACAATGTATCTGGCTCAAAACCACAAACACAGCTGGGGATTCACCGTGCCAGGTTTCTGGATACCTGGATCCCATCACCAATTATCGTTCAACGTTGCGAAACAAAGCATCCGATGTTCACGTTTTTCCCAAGAGCGTCTGAGTGTAGGGTTCTTCCAATAGTGGGGGTCTGTAAAACATCTTCTCATCTTCTCATCTTCACATCTTATCTTCACATCTTCTCACCTTCACATCTTCTCACCTTCACATCTTCTCACCTTCACATCTTCACATCTTCTCACCTGCAGATCTTCACATCTTCTCATCTGCTCATGTTCACACCTTCTCATCTTATCATCTGCTCACCTTCACATCTTCTCATCTTCACATCTTCTCATCTCAGCAAAAAAAAGAGGGGGTCAAGCCAGGGGGGGTTAAGCCAGGAGTGGTTTCTTTACTGTGGCATTATAATAAAAAAGAGAAAAAATAAGAAAAAAAGAGGGAAAAAGAGAAAAAATAAGAAAAAATAAGAAATAATAAGTTTTTAAAAGGGTCTTAGCAAAAGGGTTATGAGCAAAAAAAATGAAAGGTTATTGCTGTGGATTGGAAATTGTGAATAAGTCAAACTTATCAATTAAGTAAAATTTTGTAATTATTTAATTTAGCTAAGTAAATATGACATGTGTTAGAAATATCGGATGATTATTAAATTAAATAAACAGAATGGGGCAAAAATAGAATAAGATGACAACTTTAATTTAGCTAAGTAAATATAACATGTGTTTCAATCATTATTATTAAACAATGGGGCAAATATTTAATAATATGACAAATTGAATTTACCTAAGCAAATATGACATGTGTTAGAAGCAAAATCATATTAGAATAATATGACAACATCAACATTATTAAATTAATTTGAGCTGAGAAATGATGTTTCCAACCCTCCGGGACCCCGGGAGATTGCTGTTTCTGAGTCAGCACCTTACCGTTACAAAGTGTATGAACCCAAGTGCGTTTATTCATCGCTGCACAGGAAGAGACAAATCAACGCATGTCCCAAGAATCAGACCCTCTTAAGTCAGAACCGGTAGCTTCATATTCCAGACTTGATTGAAAAGGTCAAATATTGACGATAGCTTGACATCGACGGATTTTAATTTCTACAACATCGGCATCTCTAGTCTGACACTTTTAAAGTGTTAAATGCAATTGCCTTGCAAACTCCGATCACTGAAATCTTTGGTACCGATATCTTCTTCAATATGAAGCCCCTTGTCAAAAGGGGAAAACATGTCAAACACTGACTGTCTCTAACAACAATACCTTTAAATTAAAATTCCTTAAAAACGACATGTTATAGCTCCAGGTTTCCATTTTTTTTGCCAAATTTCAAGACATCGGTGTTTGAGATCTAAAGGTCAAATAGCGGCATTTGAAGAGTTAAGGGTCATGTTTGTTCAATATCGATACTTGAAGTCTTAGAATGGTTCACTTTCAAGGTCTGAATATTTGAGACTGTAAGTGACCTTAACTTTCACTCATGGCGTTCTTACAGTGCAAGACCGTTAAGATCTCAAGTACAGACATAATAAAGAACTTGAACCTTCAAAATACCAATAATTCTGTTTGAAACCAAAGACCTTTAACTATCTACAATAGCGGCGCCTGAAATTACAGACCTCGGAAGAGCCAAATGTGTATGTATCAAAACTGCAAACTTTCAAAACGTCAAAAAATCACAAAACGATATTTGGTGTGTTACGGGTATTCAATCTTGAGATACCTGTAACTGATAAAGCTTTTGGAATTTAAGAAAACTATGAATCTAACGCTTTAAACTTTTGAAACGCTGAAACCGCTTGTTTTGAAAGTCATGTCTGAAATTTCAAGATGCCGATAATGGTCATCTTACTTTTGATCTACCGGTACTTCACCGTCTCAGTGGCTGGGAAGCAATGGGAAATCAGAACAAACTGAACTGAGACATCTTGCATCTACACGCACTGGCTCCAGTCCCTCAACTCAAAAACATTGCATTTCGACACACCAAACGAAAACCAAACGCCCAAGGACCTACACGGAAATCTGACAACGTGTCTTGCGACTCGCCGCGCGCGCGCGCAAAAGAAACTGTTAAAGGCATGTTGGGGGCACCCTGGACGCAAAATTGAACGCAAAAACGTTCGCCGACACTTTCAGATATCGGTACTGCAGGTTTAATTTGAAAGGTCGTGACTTTGAAGATACCGCTTGTTTCAGGTACCATGGGCCTCAAGAAAATGCTTGCTGGACTTGCAATATTTTGAAACCGTCAAATACCGTTGTTTAAGATAACGGTATTCGCGAGGGTAACTAAGACTATGAACACTTAAATTGATTATCGATACTGCAGGTTTAATTTGAAAGGTCGTGACTTTGAAGATACCGCTTGTTTCAGGTACCATGGGCCTCAAGAAAATGCTTGCTGGACTTGCAATATTTTGAAACCGTCAAATACCGTTGTTTAAGATAACGGTATTCGCGAGGGTAACTAAGACTATGAACACTTAAATTGATTGATCATGAATCATTCAGATCGATATTCCACGCGTTCATGGCCTTGAATTCCGAGATATCATTATCTTAGATTTCCAGTTCGGTTTCGCATTTGAGATCCTTCAAACCTAAGAGCCGAAAGCTGAACAAGTTCAAACTCATAGCGCAAGAAATGCAGTTCAAATCCTTAAAATTTCAATTGTCGATCTTTTGAAGTTTTTATTTTCAACCGTCGACGCTTCACCCTCAAAGTATTTAAGACCGTTACTGAAAAGTGGGAAATGTTGATATCCATTCATCAATGTTGAATTTCCGCTCCAAAGTTCAAAAGTTGACAGTGGGTAGCAAGGTCTTCGGGGCTGCATGTAATGTATATATTCTTGCTTAAAAACTTGCGCTTCGTGACAAACACGGTGTTTGTGTTCACTGCCTGGGCAGCACTTGTTTCGACACATCTAGTCATGGAAACTGTCACGCGAAATGACATGTTCTTAAATGAAGGAAAACGATGTAAACCAAACCTACTATCTAAACCTTTAGGGTGGAAAACATAACAAAAGCAAATATCTGCCACAAAATTTGCTCGCCGCAGGCGCCAAGAATTTTGACCTGTCCCCCACCATGATGCCGGAAAAATCTTTATCAAAATCAGATTCGTGGGAGAGCCCGCCGCAAGTGCCACATTTTGGACTTTGTCGGCTATCATAATCATAATAACGAAAAATTACTCCCCCAAACTAAATCTCGTGGGGTGGGTACATGGAAAACACTAAACCAGTCAAGCCTGCCGCAGGCGCCAAATTTTTTGGGTCTTAATACACTGGACGCTAGTTTTAAAAATTCTACAGACTAGTTTAAGGTTTAGGATTGATTTCACAAACTAGTTTCGGGTTTAGGCTTAGTTTGAGACGTTTTCATGCAAAGTAGTTTAGGGTTTAGGATGTCAGTGTGCACATTCATCGAGAAAAAAAAGACTCCTGGCTAGACCCTCCTGGCTTCGACCCCGTTCAAAAAAACGAACACGCCAATGTTCGCTGCACACTCACCATTGACTTGCCCTTTTCATCGAGAAAAAAACCTTTCCTGGCTAGACCCCCCCTGGCTTCGACCCCATTCAAAAAAAGGAACACGCCAATGTTTGCTGCACACTCACCGTTGACTCGCCTTCGGCTCGTCAAAAGTTTGCAAAATGGGTCAAAACTCCTTTGTTATGGCACCGTGTCACCATCTTATTTTTTCTTATTTTTTCTTATTTTTTCTTATTTTTGATCGGCCAACCCATCTTATTTTTTCTTATTTTTTCTTATTTTTTCTTATTTTTGATCAGCCAACCCATCTTATTTTTTCTTATTTTTCTTATTTTTTCTTATTTTTCTTTCTTATTTTTTTATTTTTTGACCAATAAGAAAAAATAAGAAAAAATAAGAAAAAATAAGGAAAAACAAGAAGAAAATGAGAAAAAAAACTCAGTTGACAGGGTAAATTTTTTGCATCAACTTGCAAAATTTTGCATATTTTCAGCGTGCTTGGAAGGCAGCTGTTGGCCAAAACAATCATTTTTTGATGCGTATTTCATCGTTGTCAATGACGCCAACTCAAGCTCCACCAGTCCCAGTTTTCCACACCCCTGGTGCCAACTCAGGTTCCCCCAGTCCCAATTTTCAAGATCCCTTGCGCCAACTCAAGCTCCCCCCAGTCCCAGTTTTCAAGATCCCTGGCGCCAACTCAAGCTCCCCCAGTCCCAGTTTTCAAGATCCCTGGCCCCAACTCAAGCTCCCCCAGTCCCAGTTTTCAAGATCCCTGGCGGGGGAGCTTGAGTTGGGGCCAGGGATCTTGAAAACTGGGACTGGGGGAGCTTGAGTTGGGGAGGGATCTTGAAAACTGGGACTGGGGGAGCTTGAGTTGGCGCCAGGGATCTTGAAAACTGGGACTGGGGGAGCTTGAGTTGGCGCAAGGGATCTTGAAAACTGGGACTGGGGGAGCTTGAGTTGGCGCCAGGGATCTTGAAAACTGGGACTGGGGGAGCTTGAGTTGGCGCCAGGGATCTTGAAAACTGGGACTGGGGGAGCTTGAGTTGGCGCCAGGGATCTTGAAAACTGGGACTGGGGGAGCTTGAGTTGGGGCCAGGGAT